CGAGTCGCTTTGGGTGCCTTTCGAACAAGCCCCATACTAAATATATGTAGTGAATCAGGGTAAACCCTTTTAGAATTTAGAAGAGATTTTTTAAGTTTGTCGTTTGCTTGTAAAGTTCTATCCTCTCTAGATAACCCAGTCTACCATAACGTTCACAGCAATCGTTTCAGCCACTACTTCTCATCTCATCCTCAATGTAATCCGCCTTTCTATGAACGAATTAACCGATTACTTCATAAATATAGCGTACAATTCCCGTCAATATACCATCCTTCCGAAAACCCTCCTCCTCCATGGACTGTAAATAAACCTCCAGTAATTACTGATCTATCAAAATTTAATAAACGTGAATCCCCACCAGCCATATTAATAAACAACTTCAAAGATATTATGGATAGATTTAGCGACTACCGACAGATCTACACAGATGCATCAAAAACAACGGACGGAGTCGGCGCAGCCATTTTTTTGTAATATTCATAATGCCAAATTTAAGTTGCATAACAACTGGACTATCTCGAACTCAGAACTATACGCAATCCTTGAAGCTCTAAAATTCATTAACACAACGGACCAGAGAAATTATACAATCATAACTGACTCAATGAATGCTCTTTGTGACATCAAAAACATATACTCCAGCAATCCTATTCATAAAGACATTTACAAAGAACTTCAAAATGCTGCAAAGGAAAACAAACATGTGGTATTAATCTGGGTTCCATCTCATATTGGAATACATGGTAACAAGGTTGGGGACCGTCTAGCTCATGAAGCAGCGACAAGTGATGGTCAAGTGCAATTAAATAAAATAGTGCCAAGTGATCTTAAATTGTGCTTAAAAAACATAGTTAGTTGTGCGTGGCAAAACAAATGGTCGCAGTGTTCCGAAAAACTAAGGCAAATTAAAGACAATGTTTTACAAAAACAAGCCTTTGTGTTACCTAGGAAAAAACAAGTCATCTTTTCTCGACTTCGAATTGGTCACACCCGTCATACACATCTTTACCGAATTACAAGAGACATTCCTCCATACTGCAACCAGTGCCAAACCAACAGTACAGTTAAACATATTTTAACCGAATGTCAAATTTTCCAGGAAACCAGAAGTAAACTCAACCTTCCCAGCGACATAGGCGACCTTCTTAGAGACAATAATCATCTACACAATATTATAAAGTTTTTAACGGCTATATGCATAAAAGATATTTAAATTAATATCTAGACTGTACTTATATTACATATATCAATCTTCTTTAATGTTCTTTAATGTTAGTACATAATTAATATTAACCTTTCTTTGTTATAATATGTATTTTCCATTGTTGTCGTCTATAACTTGAGTTATAGACGACAACAATGGAAGCTTACAACAATGACTTACAGAAAGCTGGATGATGATGAAATTAGTGATAGTCAGTTAGGCTTTAGAAACGGCACGGGAACCAGGGAAGCATTGTTCGGTATAAATGTGCTCATGCAAAGAAATCTGGATATGAACCAAGACATGTATACATGTTTTATTGATTTTGAAAAAGCATTTGACAAGGTACAGCACAATAAACTAATTAATATTTTAAAAATGAAAAACATCGATAGCCGCGACATCAGAGTAATCTCGAACCTCTACTGGAACCAGAAAGTCAAAATAAGAATTGAAAATCAAATGTCGGAAGAAATAGAAATTCTTCGGGGTGTGAGACAGGGCTGTGTATTGTCACCACTGCTGTTTAATATATATAGCGAAGCCATTTTCCAAGAAGCTTTAGGAGAGTGTAACGATGGAATGATAATAAATGGTGAAATTATTAATAATATAAGATATGCCGATGATACTGTCATATTCACTTCAACTCTGCAAAGTCTAACAAACATACTGGAACGGCTGAATGAAAAGTGTACCATATATGGTATTAAAATGAACTTAAAGAAAACAAAATTCATGGTCATTACAAAACATCCAAAAGACAACGAGACACTCCATATTAATAATATCCAGATAGAAAGGGTAGATAAATACAAATATCTAGGAACATTGGTTAGTCAAAACGCAGAACAAACGCAAGAGATTAAAAGCCGTATAGAAATAGCAAGGGCAAAATTTGTAAAAATGAAACATCTATTGTGTAGTAGAGACCTAAGAATGGATCTAAGGATAAGGTTATTGCGCTGCTACATTTTTACAACTTTGCTCTACGGATCTGAGGCATGGACATTGAAACAACTGGAGATTAAGAAATTGGAAGCTTTTGAGCGTTGGTGTTATCGAAGGATGCTACGAATAGCATGGGTAGACAAAATTACCAATATTGAAGTCCTTGATAGGGTTAATAAGAGGGAAGAAATTGTACAGACAATTAAGAGGCGGAAACTTGAATATTTCGGTCATATATTAAGAGGTCCTCGTTATGGGCTACTACGTTTGATTATAGAGGGCAAAATAAAAGGTAAAAGAGATGTAGGAAGAAGACGAACCTCCTGGCTACGAAATCTAAGGGAATGGTTTAATCTGAGCTCTAGCCAACTATTTAGAGCTGCTGTAAGTAAAATAAGAATTGCCATGTTGATATCCAACCTTCGTTAGAAGATGGAACCTTAAGAAGAATAACTTGAGTGGTTCGGACGACATTAAATAAATTAATGAAAAAAAAACTTTAAACATTTTTTTTATTTTCGAGTTAAACGAAAATTTTATCCGATTTTTATTAATAACTGTAAATTCAATTCAATAATGTATAAATACTTATATGCATAAAAGTATTTTTTATGTTTATATCAATATATTCACTATTAAGAATGTTTATTTAGATACAATAATTTATTTATCTATATTTTTTATATTGTTTGTGCTACAAATTGGAGTTACATTTTTAATGCTATATTCAATTATAACATCTTCTGATGAAGATATGCTTCAACTGTTTTCTAAAGATGTTTTGGGTCGGACAATATTCAGAATGACGATGTTTTTGAAAAGATTTGAAATACTTTTGTCGTGTTTTAGATTTGACAATAGCATGGATCGCGAAGAGCAGAAGAAAACTGATAAAACAGCGGCTATTTCAAATATTTTTAATAATTTTTTGACTAATTGCCAGAGGTTATACATGTCAAATTGTGTAACTATGGATGAGATGCTACTTCCATTTAGAGGTCACTGTGGTTTTCGAATTTACATGCCCAGTAAACCTGCGAAATACGGCATAAAAGTAATGTGCGTGACAGATGCTAAGAGCTCGTATTTCTATAATGGATATGTATTATGTATATATATATATATATATATATATATATATATATATATATATATATATATTCATGGAAAGATTCGGATAGTGTTGGACTTTCAGAAGAAGAACTGAAGCTTTCCAAGCCTGCTCAATGTTTCATTCGACTATCCAAACCAATAGAGGGCTTTTACCAAAATATTACTGCTGACAACTATTTTTCGTCAATAGAGTTAGTCACAGAGTTGCAAAAACGCCACCTCGCGTATGTGGGTGCAGTAAAAAAATAAGCGAGAAGTTCCTTTGGATTTCCAGGCTAATAAAAGTAGGGAAATTGGTTTCTATGGTTTCTCCAATAACATAACCTTGACATCATATGTACCGAAAAAATAGAGCTGTTCTTTTATTATCCTCTATGCATCACAGCAAAGACAATGAATTAGGAAAACCAGAAATAATTCGATACTATAACAGTACAAAATCGGGAGTTGATGTTTTAGCCATGAAGTGTGCCAATTATAGTGCAAACCGCCGGGCAATGCGTTGGCCCTTGCCGTATTTTATACACTTATAAATATAAGTTCAGTCAACAGTTACATCCTTTATCTTTGTTACAAAGATAATCAATTACTTCCACGTTTTAAATTTGTAAAAGGCAAAGACTTGAAACAAATATTCCCCGAGACCTTAGAAAGCAGATAGACATTTTTTTGGGAATAAATCCCGAAGTGCCTCTCTAGAATATCGGTGACAATGTTCAAGATGATAAGCTTCCCAAAAGAAAATTGTGTAGCATTTGTCCATCATCAAAAATGAGGAAGACAAATTATAAATGTGTGCGTTGCTGAAATGCTATTTGTTTGGAGTGTAGTAGAAAGGTTTGCGTTACCTGTCTTCAAAATTAGTAGGTAGCTGTAGTATATTTTTTGTTTTATCTAGAAATACACATGTTTGTTTACTTAATTACGCCTAATAATGTTGTTTTCTATATTACACATTTTGTTTTATGTAAGTATTATGTATGAATAAGTTTTTTTTGCTCGTTTATACCTAATAAACCCTTTAATATTTTGCTTTTCTCTTCAAATGCTACATTTGTTTTTGATTAATTTCAAGTTTACCTATACTGGTCCTATATACATATGTTTCGAATTAGCAATAAAAGTACTATGTTTCGGGTTAAGGGTTAAACAAAAAATTTGAAAGCAACTTAGTAATAAAAAAATGTGTTGTTTTTTTACTCTATTTTATTTCTTTATACTACACAAGCGATCAAATTGTTTCGAACGTAAGATTATTACTTAACTCTTATTTTCTACTTTTAATTTTTCTATTTATTGACATTGAATATTATTTTTTTTTTGTTGTATAATCCCCTTCTGCAATAATTATTTGATATTTTTGATTTAAAATAAATTCAGGATTTTTTTTGTAATTTGGCAACAATGTCGACTTGGATTTAACGTAGATAATGTCGTGCATCGCGATTTATCCTGTACCAACCGTATAATATGATGGTTTTTTTTAAACTACGTATGCTTGAAATTTTAAGGCAGGGATGATATTTTTTGCATCAAATTCTCTTCTTTATTTCCTTATGTGTACTGTAATTGAAAACAATACTTGAACACCTGGAAAACAAAAATGATAATCATCGTTAAAAATTATATTGACAGTCTTCAAGGTGCCAGTCTTCCGTTTTTTCTTTGTTTGTTACCTGCAGCCCCTACTAATTTATTTTTTCCTTAAAGATTTTATCAGATAGAAGTAACAATGATGCAGGTAAGAGACAAACAAGCCCGTGCTATGAGCTAAGGGTATAATTATAAAGGATATGGGTATTTTTGCACCATTTGTTCATTTTTGACAAGTAGGACTTAAAAAAACCCAGTATACATCGTAAAGTTCTTTTGTTCCATTCTGATTAAGTTGCAACATCGTAACTTATTATGTCGTACCTCCAGAAAATCATAAATACGGAATAACGTGACAAAAAAAAAACATTAACGTGTAGATAAAAGATGTAAAAAAAATATTTACAAATGTACAAAAAACATTAAAAGAGAAGGGAAAAGCGAATTATATAAACATAAAAAGCTTAATTATTGTTTAAAGAAGACTTAACAAGAAAATTCTCAACCATGCCTAAGTAAACTTATACAAAATGATAAAAATGAATGTAAAAGTACGAAATACATTTAAAGAAACCACAATGTCATCCATTAATTTTAATCAACTAGTAGTTATTCCTGCAGTAGTCATTCAGCAACAATAGAAACCAATTGTGATGAAAATGGTATGTATATAAAATAAGCAAACCAATAGTCATCACTATCGGAAAATGCCAAATAAAAATCAATAATCAAATCTATGAAAAAGAAGAGACAATACACGAAGAATGCATGTTCGACCTTCCAAGATTTGAATATAAAGAAAATATAACAAATCTACCCATAGTAAAATTAAAAAGATTGGATAGCAACGAAATTAAGAAGATACTTGATTTAGAAATGCTTGAAAAGAAATCCCAGCATATCACAACTGGACCAACTCAAGTTTAATTAATATAATTATGCTAATAATTCTTATTTTTGCAATTGTTAAGGTGTTCAATAGTAAATTCAAAGAATATTGTACCAAAAGGAGAACACAGAAAACTAAAAATGGCCCAGGAAAAGAAAGTCCCTTGTTTTCAGAGCTTAAGAAGGGAGAAATTATATAAACATAAACAGATAATTCGATTGGAATTGGAAAAAAAAAATAGTCGTCAATTCATTTTGTTTAAGCATTGTAATAAACCAAACGAAATTCGTTGAAATGTAGGTACACGTGCATTTATGTCGCATCGCATTTTTTATGTAAATAATTTTTGTTCTTATTTAGGGCTCTGGCTAAAATTCAATTTAAATAGGTAATAATACATGATATCGTGCGTTTAGATTCTATTTTTAGAATCGCAAGTTGAAAATAAAAACGCACAGCACAATAATTATTACAGTCAATATCTGTGTGTTACTATAATTCAGTTTCATTCAAATTCGAACATTGATTGTGTCACTTAGTCGTTTGATCAATTAGGTTTTTAAGGAATGGATCCTTCTACATCTGGAACATCTGGAAAACGTGAAAAAAAAAAATTAAAATTATTACAGAACTAAAGAAAGGTGTTTCTGTTGCCGCATTGAGCAAAAAGCATATTGCCGCATGATGTTCCGAGAACAACAATCAATGATTTAAAGAAAAATGCTGAAAGAATTGAAAAATATACTTCGCAAATTAAAGACGGCATTATGGAAAACGCAGATTTGAATTTTTCTTCAAAATCAAAATCTGCTGATTACCATGAAAACATGAATGCAGATATGTTTGTTAAATGGCTTGAGGAGTAACTTACCTAATCTTAGTGAAACCTTAGTTATAGTTTTAGATAATGCACCTTACCATTCGGAGATTTTGGAGAAATAACCAAAACAGTCGTGGAATGTCTTTAAATCAGAGTTACTAGAAATTTCGAAACATTATGAAGAGTCAACAGTTGACCAAATTGTATTAAGTTATGGACATCAAGTACTAAGACTCAGTGTATCAATGACAGTTTAATCCAATCGAACACATCTGGGGTATATCTAAAACGTATTATGATTGGATGCAGTGCAATACAGTGGCGATGCAGTTAGGAAAACGTGGCAAGAAGCTCTTAAAACTGCAACTCCAGAAATATAGGCCAAAACTGTAAATAAATGTGAAAAATGAATAGAAGAGTGGTGGATCTGGGAAATAAATTTGATTCACATAATGAAAATATTGATTTACATAATGATAACGGTAGTGAATTTAGTGACGGTTATGATGATTTATAAATTTAAATAATTAGTAAAGTACACTTATATAATGTTATTTACAAAACAATTGTATATCAGGTTAACCATTATATCTATACATTCATTATTAGCCAAATAAACAGTAATATTTAAAATTCCATTTGAATTGTTGCTCCTCATTTCATACAAATTAACTCTACTGATAATAGATTCAAAAATATTTTAAACAAAGTAAGTAATTAAAAAGATTATGGAGAACTCCAGTGCAGTTTACCGTGCCCTTTACTAAAACGAAAGGTTTCCTACAAATTCCATTATTCGTTTAGAGGTGTAAGTTGGTTGAATGTACTGTACACACTTGTACATACTTTTTACTCACGAATCACTGTCCATGCCATAGCTACTACTGTCATATATTTTATGTGTTCGATAATGACTATCAAAATATTTCCAAACTCAGTGAATCGACTATATTAAGAAGACAAAACAAAAAAAAACTATTATATCGGTTCCTCCATTATGAGATGCTTCAACAGACTGAGTTGCCCTCTAGGCAAGAGCTCATGACTAACTGTTCTGACAAGCTCTTAAGAACAATAACTGGTTTGACTACCAGGGAAAGGTCAAGAGAGAGCGAACAAAAAGAAGAATATATATATGAAAAAGTGATAATAAGAGAAGAACAAACCTACTTTTTCCCATGGATTAGTGCCTTGTTTAAAATAATGAGTTTCGATTAGCTAAACAGTCTGACATAGGTTCGAATGGGTACCTTTCTGAAGAGGAAAGAGAGACTTCTCGGTGGGTTTGTGGGAAGCAAGCCATGTGTACTTTCGTGGTTTGTGTTAATTGCATAAATCTTACTAAAATAAAGGTTTCTATTAATAAATACATGTCCTCTTCCATTCCACTTCCCTAAGCCTTTTGTTTTGTAATTTGTGGTAATTTGTTCTATTGAACTAAATACCAATGTCAAAAGCTAGTTTAAAACCCACGACTTACCGTCCAATAACCATCTAGTTGCTATTTGCAATATATCAATTAGTGACCTTTCTAGCTAAATCAGAATAAAAAAGGTTACAGTATTCTGATATATAGAAACTTTTTTTTAGTGCTATATTTCAAATTTTATTACCATTTCTTCTTGTTGCAGATATCGACCAACGAACAACTTGAATCGAAACCGTTTTACCTCGACCGGAATCTCGCGGAAGACCGATCTCAAACCGAGTACGAACCCCCTCAAGATTACGTCGGCGAAATTGTAACCGCCACTGCCAAGCCGCCGTCCACGACATTGGACGACGTTTTTATTAGCGTAAAAACTACGAAAACCTACCATAATAAGAGGTTACCCATCATATTGAAGACCTGGTTTCAGCTGGCCAGAAAACAGGTAATTTTTGAATTAGTCATAATTTTGCCATAAAGTTGCCCCTTTGGGAGAATATAATTTTATAAAATAACTGTTTTATGTGCTTTGATTTAATTATTTTTTATTGTAAATATATACAACTGTCCTTGTTTAACATGCTTATTTTGGGGTTTTTAATTTTTAGAATATTAGATTATTAATTTATATTCACTAATAGAAAAATCCAGCCAAAGCAAATTCTAGATATCCGAACTTTAAACTCACCAAACGCAGGGAGTGAACACAAACTATACCAGCAAAGATAAGAATGAAAATACAAAAACAAACATTTCTACAGAAAATCACCGAGGAAAAATTCAATGTAGAATCACTGTGGAATGACTATACAAGAGAAATGTACTAAAGGAGTCTAAACTTTTTTTTCATATTTTTTTGAGGTGGGTGGGAAATCTTCGTAAGATACCAGTTCTTATGTCTGATATGTGGGATTCCCTCACCGCCGCTAAGATGGCTGTTGAGCCCACCACATGTGACACGCTCAACCGCAATCCCGGCCGGGATGAGAGCCTATCCACTAAAACCCCTCCGTCCTCTTAACTACGCTTGTGATCCGCGAGTGCAGTCCGGGATTCACCCTGGTGACGGCATATCTTCAGTACTACATCCGCCTCACCTCTCGTTAAGTATCACTTCACCGCTGGACTAACACAATAAACTTTTTTTGTGACTACAGCAGTCTTTCTTCAGTCTCCTTGGACTGGAGCGTCTGTCTGACGAATGCATGGGTTCTTGCCCACGTGTCTTCATCCTCACACATCCTAGCAATCATATCACTCACGGAATCAAAACGAACACCATTTCTTCTCTCCAATTCTAATCTGTCTCTACTCCATCTTACACATTCCAACAATGTATGTGACACAGTGTCGACCAAACTGGCAGTAAGGGCATCTATTTGTAGCCGCTTTTTTTAACCTGAAAAGGTATAAGCGAAAACACCCATGGCCCGTGAGAACCTGCGACAGGAAATAATCTAAACGCCGGTGTCCACATTCGAGCCACGTCTTTACGTTCGGTATAAGTGACTTGGTCCACTGTGCCCCATCCACAGTTTCCTCCCATTCGGCTTGCCATATCTGTATAGATGTGGCTCTCTCTTCACATTTTGCACTCTCAGTCACACCAGTGTTACGAGCACGATGAAATAAACGGGTCCTCTAGCATGCCAAGATGTGAGAGGGCATGCAGCCAGTGATGACCCACAATGCTGCTGCAGAAACAGTTCTATAGGCGCTTGCTACGCGTAACAGGCTTGTTCTGTCTGTTCGTGTTAAAAGTCTCCGGTAGGATGATATATCTATCTCTCCGCTCCAAACTGGGGCCGCATAAAGAACGATAGATTGCACTACCCCGTGCAGAGCCCTTCTTCTTTCAGGTTTAAGCCCGCTTATGTTGGGCATTATCCCTCCCAGTGCAGCCGCTCTCTGCGTGGCCATGCGCGTCACCAACCGAATGCTCGCCCCAACTTCCACTGGCGTGAAGAGTTACTCCCAAGTACTTGACGCACTTTTTTGGAGTGATCTCCGCACCACCGCACTCAAATATAACATTCTCGCGTTTCCGTGGTCCCTTAAGTATCACGGCCTCGGTCTTCTCCTCAGCAAGTTTCAGACCACGCTCACTCATCCAATCTCTTGCAAGGTCACATGCACTCCGTGCTTTGTACAGAAGTTCTTCCGTGTCCCGTGCTACTACCAGCAATGCAAGGTTATCCGCGAATGCGAAGGGGGTGACCCCTCTCCGTATTCAAGCCGCAAAACCCCGTCATATGCCAGGTTCCATAGCTTTGGTCCAATGACGGACCCCTGTGGCACCCCAGCCGTAACATCCACAATCACACTCTTTTCAACCAGGATTCTTCTCTCAGATAGATAGTCTGAGATAAGGTTCCTCAAGTAGCCAGGAAAGTTTCTATCCTCAACCGCTCTCATCACTGCTCCCCATTGCAAGGAGTTGAAGGCGTTCTTAACGTCTAGTAAGAGCAATGCAGCCCATTTTTGGTCGCGGGCCTCTATATTTAGCGCTCGGTAAACTTCCAGCACTGCATCAGTCGTGCTAACATTCTTACGGAAACCATATTGGAGGGGATAAGCCTCCAGACCTCTCAATTGCTTCATCAATTCTCCCGCTCAGCAGTCTTTCAAACAGTTTACAAATACAAGATAGGAGGCAAATGGGTCGATATTTGTCCTCTCCTTTAGGCAGGAGGATCAATTTCGATGTTTTCCAGTCTGCAGGAAAGCTCTGTCGTACAAGAACAGCGTTCATGTGGCCCAGGAGCCACGCAGGCTCTAGTAGGCCTAGGCGTTTAATTGCCTCAGGCGATATGCCATCTAGGCCCGGTGCTTAAGGGCCCCCAACGATTCATCGAGTTCGTTTAGGGAGAAGGCTTCAGCTTGTTCAGCAGACGCATCACTCCGTGCCATTCGCCAGATGGAATGGACTAAAGGAGTCTAGCACAGAAGATACAGCTGAAGCAAATAGACGACATCGAAAATATAAACGCGAGCTGAGAGAAAATTAAAAAAAAAACATTGAAGAAGCAGCAACAGAAGCTCTAGGAAAACGCAAAGTAATACTAAACAAAACAAAATAGCAACAATACACCATGGTTCAGAAAAGAAATAAAATAGAAATGTAAAGAGAAACGAGAGACATACATGAAGTACAAAACATCAAATACTTCAGAATTCCAAGACATCTATAGAAGAATATGAAATGAAACAAAGCAGTTGGTAAGAAGAACAAAAAATTAACACGGAACAGTTTACAAAAAGGATGGAAAGTGACTTCTACAGTACACAAAAACAAATATGGAGATTCATAAAAAAAACGAAAAGAAATGGCAGAATTGAAGGAATAATAATAATAATAATAATAATGTTTATTTACTTCCCAATATACAATATAAAACAATGTTACAATATGTTAGTTTTATATATTACAATTACAAATTCAAAGTTAAATATTTTGTACAAACAAATAGTTGATAGCAAATAAACAAAGAAGAACTTCCCTGATGAACCAGAGGTTGTGCTCAGAGATTACACTCATTTACACTATTCAATATTTGTTCTACAGTATCATTAGGTTGATAATATATAATATTGTTGCAAAGTATACTGTATAGTATTATTTATACGATGAATTTAATTAAAGAAGATCGCATCCAAAATTTCGGATCCAGTGTTCTTCAGAAATTTTGTAAAAATGGATTTAATCATGTTAAATGAGTTGATTTTTCTTATATAGGTTTTATAGATCTCGGGTAAATAGTTAAATATTCTAGGAATGAAGTAAGAGAAATTGTGTTTTCCAATTGATTTATAAGCACTAGTAATTTGGACATAATCATGAACTTTTCTTCTAGTGCTGTAAGTATGATCTATTGATTTTAAAACATGTTTATTTTTGTATGTAAGCAAAATAATGGTAAACAAATATAACTGTCTTATACTAAAAATATCTGCTTGCTGATAAAGATGTTCTGAAGAATATAATCGAGATTTTTTTACCATTATTTTCAAAAACCTTCTTTGTAATATTTCGAGTTTATTTAAATAAGAAGCATATGTTCCACCCCATCCTAAAATAGCATATCTAAGACGTGACTCTATCAAAGAATAGTTAAGAATACAATAACATACCAGCAAACGAATTGGAAAGATACCTGACGCTATATAATACAGGAAAAGATAAATGGAAAACTAACACAGTGTATACCAGTCAGACAGGGTCTGACTCCGCTTTGTACTGATTCAAGATACTGAGACTCATTAAGCCCACTTCTCTTTAATATAATAATAGACAAAATAATACAAGCAGTACGTAAAGATCATGACTACAGAATGGGGAACAACGTTATCAACGTTATAACAAGAAATCCAAATATTATGTTAAGCAGACGAATGGAAAAGATACCTGACGGAACTGTTTAAAGGAAAGGAAAATAATAATCAACACAATAACGTACCTGACTTAAGACACGAAATAGAAATAAGTTTTCCGGAAAGTAGAGATAGCTACAATATAGATAAATTCACTCAAAAATAGAAAGTCACCAGGACCAGACGTAGATGTTGTATTTGTACTAAGACAAATCACAGAAAAGGCCACCTATTGTATAAAAGAAGCATCATCATCATCATCATCTTTGGTTCGACAATCCTCTGTGGATCTTGGCCTGCTCTAAGATTCGTCGCCATTCTGTTCGGTTTTTGGCAACATGTTGCCATCTTCTGATTTTTAATATTCGTAAGTCGGTTTCTACTCCATCTAACCACCTAATTCGCGTTCGGCCTTTGCTTCTTTTTCCTACAGGTGTTCCTGTGGTAAGCTTTTTAGCAATGGTATTTTCTGGCATTCGTATTATGTGTCCAGCCCATCTAAGTCGCTGTGTTTTAATGAACGTTATGACATCTGGCTCATCAAAGAGCTGATACAATTCAAAATTATATCTTCTGCGCCACTGCCCTTGGTCGTTTACAGCTCCAAATATTTTGCGGAGTATTTTACGCTCAAATATTCCCAAAAGTCTTTCATCTTTCTGCGTTAGAGTCCATGTTTCTGCTTCATATGTGAGGACCAGCCTCAGCAATGTTTTGTATATAATAATTTTAGTTTTTCTTTGAATGTTTCTTGAGTGGAAATGATTTTGGAGTCCATAGTATGCCCTATTTGTTCGTCTTTTAAGATTTATTCGTCTTTTGATTTCTTCGCTTGTTTTATTGGTAGCAGTCAATAGCGACCCAAGGTATGTGAAGTTGTCAACACGTCCAAAGGTATGACTTCCAAAGACTGTTTCTCGTTCCTCATTTGCTATCGAATTGCTCAACATCTCGCTTGCTACGCCCTACTATGTCAATGTCATCAGCATATGCTAAGACTTGTATCGATCTATTGTAAATAGTACCGCCATCCCTAATTCGTGTATCTCGGACTGCCTTTTCTAAGGCAATACTAAATAGGAGGCAAGCCAGAGCATCTCCTTGTCTGAGTCCATCTTTTATCTCAAAGGATCTAGAACTCTCTCCCTGTATTCTAACAGTGGCTTCTAAGTTAGACATTGTCATTCTCGTTAGTCGGATAAGTTTCTCTGGTATACCAAACTCATGCATTGATTGGTATAGCACTGTTCTCTTGAAAGAAGCATAAAAGAAGCATACCAATCAATATTATACAAACCATCGAAAACATCTACCTGCAAAATCGAATACAGGCAAAGATAAATGGAAAACTAACACAGTACATACCAGTACAAAGCGGAGTCAGGGTGACTCGTTAAGCCCACTTCTCTTTAATATAATAACAGACTAAATATTACAAGCAGTACGTAAAGGTCATGGTTACAGAATGGGGAACAAAGAAATCCAAATATTGTGTTATGCAGACGACGCCGCATTAATCGGCGAGAAAGGCGAAAACATAAGAAGAGCATGCAATATAGAAGACAAAATGGATGGATGACAACACACATTAGTAGAATGGAGAGAACGATTTAATCTTCTATATAAAAAATATTTTAAATGTTTTCTTTACTTCATAAACCAAATCTTATTAATTTTAAAACGAGAAAAAAGAATATAATAAGGAAATTATTTTATTAGCTCTAGATGAAGATTCTACTGCTGTTGACAGGACTACAGAAGTTCTGCCTTCTCCTGTGATAACTCAAGATCATGAATGAGTTTACTCAGTTGAGGTCACTCATTGCTATCTATGCTTCTACTTCAATCTGTACAGTTTTTATCTTTTCTTTCAAAATCAGGGTCATAGCATGTGAAGGATTTATTTGGTTTTCCTTCTTTCATTTTTAGTCTTAACAGTTTATATTGACGTGACTCTTCCAGACTTGTCTCCTTCATATAGAATAATCGTCAGTTCATTACCAAAAAATATCTTCCTTGAATTGATTAAAGAGGTATTAGTTTGTTTAAAAACTACTGTGCTTCTTTCAGCTAATTATCGACGAAAAACGTCAGTAAAATAATGGAAAAATTAATTGCATAAGAATTAGCACCACTTGGGTTAGAGCACCATGTAGTACCAGTCTCTCAACAGGAATTTCTGCAATTGTTCGGTGACTATAAGCTTATAGCAACCTGCTTACTACTCTTTAACAATACGATTTTACTGTCTTAATAATACAGTAATCAAAATAAATTGAAAAATATAAAAATGTCAACTTTTTTATTGAACAGTTTTATACTGTTTAATTTTTTTACCAATTTAGTGTTGTTCTGTTGCGATGAATAATTTTTGCTATATTTGTCTTGTTTAAGCAATTATCCGAATTTCTAATAATTTATCTTTGTTAGAGCTAGAGTTTAAAACAGTCCTGAACTCACTGATCCTATTAAGTAATAGACGGTTTTCTATTTTTAGTCTCTAATAACACTAACATCAAAATGCGTGTGGTTTACATAAATTGGTCATAATTAATTGAAATATGCAATAATCTTAATAGCTCATGGGAGACAACTAATGGATTAGTCACGTATAAAGCTTTTTCATTGGAAATTTGGATATGTAGATATTTCTTTCTAAAAAATCTAACAAACTTTTATCTTAACTTATCGATAAGAAATTGGTCGTAATATCTGATCAAATTACAAATAGGGCATATTTGAAATATAATTTTACCTTTTAACTTTCATATTTCTTCCTTGGACTGTGTTCAGGTATACTTTTGTTACAAATATTCATAAAATATAGTACCACAATTGTAGCGAGTGACTCATATTTTCAATGCATACCTTTGCGGGTCTGAAGGGAAAGGAAATCGACGAGACATAAGTATGCGATTATTATTTAAAAAATAATCAGGATTTAAGAACAAAAAGATTGTCATAAAAATTATTTTATTATCCTATAGATGTCTTAGACCAGTGTTTCCCAAAGTGGGGGTCGCGACCCCCTAGGGGGTAGCGACCATATTAAAGATATTGATTCATATATAACTTATATATAAGATAAAACCATATTTAAGATATTCATCAATGTAGAATCTGTTTTTCTTTTTATTGCTGCTACTGCCACTTTCAGACCTAGATGGTTCTGCACTTCTTTTTAAAAACTTATCCATAATCTATAATTTATCGTAGACTTAAATACGTAAATGGGAACACGTAAGTCGTAAAATATTTACTCATTACTCAACACCGCGTTCGCAACTATAGGCTGTTTGGATTCGAACTGAGGTTTCGTTGCGCATCGCCGCTTATATAAAGCCAAAACGAGGCTACGAGAACGTTCCAGAGTGCCATCTAGTAGCGAGCGCTTTTGCGATTATCATGGAAGAGTTTTGCGATGTAGACACAAGCTAATATGTCGCAGTGTACAATGTGCAGTCGACTTCTTATTATTTATTTTTATTATAATGCTATTCTGGCAGAAGTACCTACTACTAATTACTAGTGGGACAGATCGCAATCATTAAAATAATTGTATTTAAATAAAATAATTATTTTTGATTTAAACTTAAACAGTAAAGTAAAATTAAATTTGAGAAACCATCAGATAATTGTAAATTAGGTGCGCTATTTCTGTCAAATAATATTGAATAAATGAGTGGGGGGAAATTGGGGGGTCGAGAACAAATTTTTTAGCAAAAAGGGGTCTCGGTTTAGATAAGATTAGGAAATTCTGTCTTAGACGAAGAAAACTAATCCTTTTAACTTGTAACTTTTAGCCCAGGTAAAACTGAATTAGTTAAACAATTTTTAATACGAAACAGTACTATTAGTAAAAAATGATTCACCTTAACTGAATATTTTTTGCATAACATATAAAAAAATATGTTCAAATAAAAACTTACATAATATATAATCTAATCTGAGTCATTTATGTCATCTTTAGATTTATCAGTAGTACCTTCGCATAGATCCACAACAACTGGTTCCATGGGGTTTTCAATGAAGTTATCAAGGCTCCACATATTCTGCTCTTCTTTCACTTCATGCTCGAAACATCATTTAATTTGAAAGTAACATTGTTCCTTGCTACTCTATTTTTTGTTTGAGCTAATATAAGTTCTATTGAGTTTAACTCACAATGGTATGGCGGCAATCGAACTACAATTACGCCTCGTTTTCGCGCCATTTTATCTACTACGTATTTAAAATAATTATTTTTATGACACCATGCTAAGTTTAGTAACTCGATTTTCGAAATTGGTTCATTGAATTTAATATATTTTTTAGTAAGGCAATCCACAACATATCGTGGTTCGAATATCGGAAAAGCATGTTTCATAATGATCTTCAACCATTTCCTAATGGTAATCTCCAAATGTTTGTAGAAACAAATGCATTTAAACCTCCTTCAACAAATCTTAAGCTGCTATCAATATGTACAATAATAAGGCTTTTCCCGTTCCGAATGGGGCTTTTAAACTTGTTAAAAAACCACCTAGGAAAGCTTTTCGTTTGTTTCTCTTACTTCATTCTTTCGTTTAATCCTATCTACCGTGGTCTAGTTTTCCTGTGTATGTTATATGTTATAATGTCCTGATGGGCCCCTGAACGTGACGCGGGTGACCCAGGTTAATTGTATGTGTTTATGGATATATATGTGTACGTATGTATATATTTTCTCTTCTTTTCATTAATTATTGTACTGATTTGTTAACTTTAAATTTATCTGTTTTAGTCTATTCGATTGCAAATAGTTAAAAACTTTTTACTGGGCCTAATGTGATGAAAAGATCATGTTACTGGCTGTATTATAAACTGCCGAAGCCGTTAAAAAAAAACTTACCTACTGACTTTTCAAAACTATTTTTAAAATCATTTATATGTTCTTAAACCACAGAAACCATCTAATCAAGAAACTGCCAATTATTTTCAACTCCCTGTCCAAAAAACAGGTAAAGTCTATTAATTTTTGGTGATAAATTTTAGAAAAGAAAATGACTGGTTTTTGCGTTTCTCGTGAATGCTGACGGCGTAGAACACAGACGAAAGAAACGACTGGGTGGCGACCAGATGGGTTTACAAATGATACGCCTCAAATATGTTGTAAAATCGGAAATTTTAGAGTAACAGAGGGGATATAACAGACTTCTTAATATTTTTGCATAATAGTAGGCCACAGGCGTCTTTCAAAAATACTTTTGTGGTCTTGAAAAGCTGTAAGGAGTTTTTTTATTCTTTTTGTTATTTTTTATTCTCTTGTATACCAAAAGGGCATTATCGATTATTTTGAACACCGTTATTAACATCAATACAAGACTAAAAGCTGCTGTTTTTTAATAAGATTTATTTGTTTAACAAAGATAATAGCTGGCAAGGTAAGACATCTTTCCAAGTTACATATTTTTTCATGGACATTCAGAGACAACGAAGAAATATTTATTTTAACTAATAAAACGATTACTTGCATATATTAGGATACATAAATATATGTAAGGGGTCACCATTAATAATGTCTTGCTTTTTTTTTAAACGAAAACGGTAAAAATTGCTGTAAATAAAAAAAAAATATTGCAAAATATAATAGATAACAATTATGTTCCAAATAACACATCATTCAAATATCCACCGCGACTACGTTTGCAGCAACGAATCCGATGAACCCAATTTTTGGTCACCTTATGCAAAATATCCGCATTAATCTCACGAATGGTGTGCTCTATGTTCCTCTTCAAGTCTTCAATAGATTGTGGTTTGTTCACATACACCAATGACTTAACATAGCCCCATAAAAAATAATCCAACAGTGTTAAACCGCAGCTTCTTGGAAGCCAATCATCTGGTCGAAGTTGCTGAATTCTCCTGGGATCTCTGGCATCAAGAGAAATCAATGTTTCCAGGAAATTTTCCTTCAAGAAATAAATGGTTGAGGCAGTATTGTGACATGTGGCACCGTCCTGTTGTAAAAACATGCCATCCAAATCCATTTCATCCAACTGAGGCCACAAAAAATCCATTATTATTGTTCGATACCTTTCACCGTTGACAGTTACACCATGTTCAAAAAAATAAGGTCCAATGATGCCACCATGCCATAAACCTCACCAGACAGTGACTTTTTCTGGATGCAAAGGTTTCTCAAGAATCTCATGTGGATTATTTTCACTCCAAAAACGACAATTTTGCTTATTCACAAAGCCGTTTAACCAAAAATGAGCTTTATCGGAAAAGATTATTCTTTTGAAAAAATCGCCATCATTTTCGAGTTTGTCTATAATATAGATCCCAATCAGCGAATAAACGACGCGTATGATGGTCAAGTGGCTTCAGTTCCTGAGTCAGAATAATCTGTAAGGGTGTAGGCCTAAATCTTTTCCCAGAATATAAATGGACTTTTTGAAGAATATGAGCATACAAAATTTTTAAAATCATTGAGTTCTATATTCACTACTTTAAAATTCCTGAAGCAATTTCATTTCCTCCTCTGTTTGCTTTGGTTTTATCCCATATTACACAATACGCAGCACTGTGGTAGCAATTGGTCAAAAATGGCGTTGGAAGGCACTTTTGTACATCACCAGTCAGTACTTTGTACTTAATATTGCTTTTGCTTTGGCCATATCGACAGATTTAAATTTATATCTGCATTCTGCTTCTTTTAAGTGCGTATCTTTTTCATTTTCAATCAGTTATTTATCAGAGTTATTATCAGTTGCTCGTATTTTAGTTGCAAATATATCGCAGTCGTCGCAAGTATCTACTTCTGGGCGTTTAA